AATTCACATCACTGTTCGTACTGTTAAATGTAGTGGTTCGATGTTTACACATATTACACAAACATGCACTGTTGTTATATGTACATGTGATAGAGGCATTTACATAGGTACATATCCTATGCGATTTGTGGCGAACTGAATTAGTAATAATTCTACCATCTCTGGTGAAATATAGAAACAAACTGTAATATAGACAGTCTTTATGTAAATTTAAGTACAAAAGGCAAATTTTACAGGACTGCGCATTTTCATTCAAACATGTGAATTTGAGTGTAATGAGTGTTGAAATTTGCTAGTACAGATTTTTTGTAATAAGGAATTAGCTAAAAAAATCACGTCATATGTTTTTTTTTACTTATACGAAACGATATTATTTTGGTTTATACTTGAACAAACAAATGAAAAACGAGTTCTTTAACAACATTCTATTGCCGTGACACTTGTATAGACATATTTTTGTCTTAGAAGAATTAAAGGGAATTTTGTTAAAATATATGTTTTTTAATCTACCGTAAAATACAGCGTGTCACAAAATTCAACGATAAATCGGTAATGGTGTATAGCAAGATCCATAACTACACGGAAAATACTAAAAAAAACCAACACTTTTTGCTTAAAAGTAACATTAACTTTTGTAACTTTTCTTACAATTTGATACCTTGACCACATGATAAGACATTGTGGCTACAAATATGAAGATATTCCTGATGTTTTTTTTTTTGTATGGGCTACCTAAATAACATAGCTATTTATTGCAGTTAAAAATTGGACCAAAACATTTGTCATTTAAGCAAAAAAAATCGTTGAATTTTAGGACACGCTGTGTACGCATTTCCCTCATACAAGATAGCTAGTTGTGAAGCTATATTTACATAACCTGCTATGCGTTACGGATTAACTAGACTGGCTAGGCATCCGAGGTATTACAGATAGCGTCTGGAATACGTAAATGGCGCCAGTCGCCGCTTATATTGAGGTAATTGAATTTCTCTTGTATAAGTACGTAATCGAGTGGATGAAGCTCCTTCTCGTAAATATATTAGATGACATTAGCTTGGTTTTCATACTTTATGAAAATTGGGTAAGAAACCTAGATGTGAGGATATTATTTTAGCTTACATTTTTCTTATTCCGACAGCAGTGTACGTAACACGTGAAGAATTTTCATTGCCGAAACATCTGTAGACAGAAAACCTTATCTTTGTTTTTTTTTTCTCCATAGTAAATGAGACGGAAAGAAAGTAGTTGTCGGTGAATGTTTAACAGCATTTATATTTGATAAAGCATTTAAAGCATATTGCTACTATAAAATATTTTTAACCGACTTCAAAAAGAAGGAGGTTTCAATAATTTTTTAACGATTATCGTAGGCAAAGTCAATTAAACAAGGATAACGTGCTAAATGTGATATTTTTTACATAATTAAGGAAGCCGTTGCAATGATACATTTATAGAATAAATTAAATTGGAATGTTCTCACCATATAGAGGTATGTGGTTAACATTTTTACTGATTAAAAATAAAACTGGTCCTTGCCGGTTTTATTTTTCCATTAACGTTAGTCTGGCGCGTCGATAACTCTATAGAGTTTTATTAGATCGTCGCTACAACAAAGTGAATTAAGTTTCATATTTAATCAATAACTTTGTTTGGGACAAAAACTTAATTAACTGATTTCGGCGAGACTCGTACTCGGTTGCAATTCTAAAATTATTTCAATTGTTTAGATTTTTTATTATTCAATTCAACACTTGAATTAGTATAAAACGAATCTATAACAGGAGAGACGCGTAAAAACAGATACCATAATTTTTCCAGGTTGCAATACTTACAAACTATAAATTGACTTAACTTTGGTGAATATATTTTTTATTTTCCTTAGACAAGAGATGCGTCGGTCAATAGCCTGATATTAAATTATACGATCTTCCAATTTAAATGAAAATAAGTTTGCGATCATTAGCAAAAGTTATATCTTCTTAAAATTATAAAGATTTATGTTTTATCTTTTAGAAAATGAAAACACATTTCTTTACTTTCAAAAGACATGGAAGCTTTTATTTGATAGAGCTACTTTTTTAATTACGTGTGTATTGTAAAAATAGCTTCAACCGACCGCATTCTTTCAACAAATTTGATGATTAATCTACAAATTAATAGTATGTAATGAATTATTTGTACGGACGGTTTGTGGCTACTGACTTGTCGACATTCATTGGTCAAAGCAGTGATCAATTGTCCGATTACATTACTCATTAAATTGCTCGGCATCGCCACTGGTTCAAATTCATATAGCTAGTAGCTACATACTTCACCAAATACATTTTTCAATGTAGTTCAAAGTTTGACAGTAAAATTATTCCTGTCAAATGATAGCATTTAATTTATGTCGTGTTATTTTCTGTTAATTTCAATAAAAATAGAAACTATAAAAATGTAATTTTAATTACGACACAATAAATTCTATAATAATTTTTTCTAAATCTCTCGATTGTCGTAGTTTGTTGAAGTCGAAATTTTACGAATTTTAGTAAACACAATATAGAGAAATGTTTAACAAATTGCAAAAAACTTTAAAACACATTAGTATAAAAACTCACCGTTTAAACACAAATATGACAGGGTTAATACTGATGTAAATAAAAACTATAAACAAAGAGCACAGTCGAAAACCGATGCGTGTCGGTGCATTACGACGCTCGTGCGCCAACTGCAATCGAAGTGGAGAACGCATATTGCCCACTAATTATATATTTCGCATTGAACATTAATAAATGGTAATAAATATTTAAGTTGGCACGTTGGATAATCACGAGAAGATGTTTACAATAAAACAATGTTATTGTAAAATTATAAACAATACTTCTCAAACATTTTCATACAATGCAGAAACTACTAGAGGGAGTTTAAAGACATTCAATAATTAAACGTCAACAATTTAATTTGCTCGAATATATTAAGTTATTTCACTTGATAATATCCTGTATTATAAGAGATATTTAAAATTTAATTTTCACATGGGCTCCTAACCTCATGTTCCCAAAATGATTATTAGCTCAAGGCAATAGCAAACAACGATCCTCACTTTGGGTTGGTACATTTCGACTGAAACATTTACCTATATGTTACTCTATAGTTAGGCAAAGAATTTGGCTTTATCAATGTTTCTACCATAATTAATTGGGAGGAAAATACTTGCACAAAAAAGGTTTATATTATTTATATGATCGAATAATTATGATTCTTCGTTTCAAACGAAATTATATGAAAAAAGACTTTCGGTTAGAAATACTTCGGATAATTTAATTAATAGCTAAAATTTCCATTTTCTAGGCTTAGGATTCCAATAATTATAAGTAATTTCGCATAAACCGGTTCGATCGTCATGTAATCGACGTGTGCTTATTATGAATTTCGCAACACCGCAATATGCGATAACTAACTTGTATGGTAAACCACGATACTGAATTTTCAAATTTAGCTTATCTTACCACTCAATATGCCAGTCTTTTGTACCTAGGTTTAGTTTGGTGTAAAATAAAAAATATATGGGACCTAATTAGACAAAACAGTTATATAAATTTGTCTAAATTGTGTTAATAATTTAAAGTAGGAATTACAGTATGCATGTTGTCTTTAATTCTTGTTTAAAGTATACAGTCATATGTCCTCGTGAGAGGCTCGGAGTGTAAAGAAGTTAAGGATCACTAGGCTATAGTCAACCTCACTGGCCAAGTACATGTGATTGACTTCAGGCATATCTTTGAATTTTTTGTACATATGTGCAGGTTGCATCAATGTTTCCTTTACTGTAAGAATGGATGTCTATAAATGTAGATATAAAATTCAAAAAAAACACATTGGTACATGGCAGATATTAACTTCGATGTGTAGATTATAAGGCCTAAGCTTGCCCCTGAGACATAATTGCTATTAAAAAATATAAAATTGATAAATATATGTACATGTGTTTCAGCGATGGAAACTCACAGTTATTGTCGTGTATATCTTCTTTACCACCTATCCTCGGAAGTAAATGCTAATCTTGATAAACCAATACGTCTTTGTCATTTTTCTGGTTTTAAAAATCTTCAAAGTTCTATGAAACTCCAAATATATAAGGCACTTTGTTTTGTTTCGGAACTTGAAAGGATCTGCAGTTGAAGAATACAATACCTTTCACAAATAATTGTGTGTGGCATTGGACAGTGATTGATTTGATACTATTTTTATTCTATCCATTATCTCTTCGAAGACTATGCTACAAGCCTTTGTTCATATTATTCTCTGTCGAGCACATAATAGGTAAGTTTTGTTAATAAAATAGTTGAATATTTCCAGCCACCATTTTTAACAATGATGACATAAAGCAAATTATGTTATGAGATGAAATTTTTTTAAATCTTTTTTACAGCTATTGCATTTGTTATTGTATTGTACATATTCTCTTAGCTTTAGCGAATTTAGTACAATTTACATACAAGTTGGTTTATTTTTACCACAGTTCTTGAGACTTGAAACTACTGTTTAGAAAAGGAAAATCAAACAGTCTATACATACAAAAAATAAAAATATAAAACAATTAGAATAGAGAAACAAATAGCAGTTGCATACTTTTATAAATTAAAAGTATGGATGTCATCAAATTTGTAATATTTGTATTAAAATTATTATATTAGGTACTTGTGGGTATGTCCATTTTTGTTTTAAAATTATTTTACCTTTTTAAGATATTATTTATTTTGGCCTGTTATATTTAAAAATTTAATTTATTTAATATCTCTTTGGAAGAAAAGTAAACGAAAGGTGTTTTCAATTGAAGAAATATTTTAAATCACAAAATTATTCTATAAATTACAAATAAACAATGTGGTGAAAATACCATAAAAAATACAACTATTTCGGCCATGAAGAAACAGCCGAAGTATTTATATATATTCAAGCAAATATATAAAAAATTGGGAGTATACAAATTGAATTACAAAGTTACAAAAGCTTACCTGAACTCGATAAACTTACTATTTTAACTTGACGTAAACATGCTAAAAACAATAACCACTGCAATTAATGTTATTTCATATAATTTAAATCTTCCACAAAACTGTGTCACGTTTGAAACACACAAGTTATTTCATTAACGCTATTTTTATTAATTAAAATAAAATAACAACATCACAACAGCTGCTGTACCTGCCAACTATTCAACTGTCACACAATGTCGACTGTCAAAATGACATTTATGTCAATTTATAAAGATTTTATGGCCTGGTTACGAGACCTTTAATCCAAATGAATTGTCTCTAAAATAATCGGATCTGTTTGGGGATACTCGTTATCTATTTATTTATAAATAAATTTTTAACTCGTTTTTCGTTATGTAAAAATTGTGTGATAAAGTGAATGTATATTCAAAGATATGGTTAGCTGGGTACCAATGATACATATTATTAAAAGCTAATATTATTAAAGTTTGAATTGTAATTTCAGTTAAGGCTTAAGAATGGATTAAGATGTACAAAATAATGTATTTAAATTGTATTCTAGATAAGAAAGTGTTAAAAATATAGCTAATATTTTACGTAGGAAGGGAAACAATTGACCAAACAAAATACTTACGTACTTAAAGGAAACCAAAGGATGTTGTTTGCTTGAATAATTACAACTATTTCAACATTTTCTTCAAATCGCTCGTAGCTCTTTGAACAAGCAATCGAACGTTATTAAATATTGATGCATGCTAAAAGCGCGCTAAGTGCTTAATTTAAAATGCACCAGTAACGAATAAATTAGCAAGTAAATATTGTACTTTACTCACTGGAATTCCTTGAGGTATCCTAGAAAAATGTTTTTGTTATAACTAATAAAAACAAATGCAGAGTTTTCTTCGAGATTCTCGTTGAATACAACAGCTGCTATTACTCCCGTGCAAGTCGTACCAGAAAATTTATTACCTACCTGTATTCTTTAGAAGAAAACTTCACAATTTCAAGGAATATGGCTCATATTTGTTTTTAACTAAGAGGGTTATTTAGTAATCATAATGACCATTAGAACCCCATTAGATCGATGCCATAATAACAACTTGACACTATTCACGTTGTAATATAATGTACATAATATATACAGGGTGTATCATCTTGACTTGAAGGCAATGTGTTTGATTGGATTCTCTGTTTGAATCGGGTTAATATGTCCCTGTTTATAGGTTAACTGCTTTCGGTTTGATTAAATGACACATTGTTTGACTCGTGATTGTAGCGGTTACATTAGGGAAGTGACGCCTCCGTTATTTTAATATGTTGAGGGATTTCTATGTAATGGAGTTCTATGTGTAATCCCACACCGTATTAACGTATTTTAGACTGAAATTATTTGGATATTATCATTATTTCCTTTATTAATTACCTTACAGTTTTGCGAAAAATAAACTACTAATATTGTCAAGTTACTTAGCGTAGCCCGCTAAAATATCAGTTGCACAAATGACCTAAACCTTACTCCTTATTCTAATTATTTAATAGAACAGCTAATGAAAAGAAAATCTAACTACCTTTATCAAAAAATGTAATCGTGCTGACCTTACTTTATGCGTAGACTTTTCTTCTTTATTATAATTGTATATCCTAGTTATATTCAATTAATTTTTTGTATATTATTGAAAAGACGTAAGTGACAAATTTTAGATTTTCACAAGCTGTTTTTGTGGCATCATAAAAAATACATTTATAAGCGCCGTACCAAAGTCTGACTTTCAAGATAGTTGAACCCGGATTTGCGCCTAAGTGATTTTTTATATCCTTGAGAATCATCGTGTGACGTGAATGTATGAAAAGGAGAGTAGTATACGATAAAATAAAACATAATCAATGATGCTATTTTATGCTAACGCATAGCCAACATAACAAGTTGGAAGTTGGAACTTATTTTTAGTCCAAAGACTCTGTTTTATGAGGAAGTATAGTCTCAACTCAAATCAGATTAACGATAAATATGTTGTTGTTGAAATAGTTCCTATAGTAAAAGATTGAAGTAGTGACGTGCTGTGTATTTTAAAACAAATAAAAATGTATTTATTATACCATCACCGCTTCGTTTGGAAATACACATTAGATATTGATAGTCATAGATCAGATAAATTACAGTCCAAGGAAATGGAAGTAAAACTTTCATAGAGTTATAAACGTTTACACATGGCTTCATAAGAAAACAGCCACTTGACATAGATGCGTATATAAAATATAGGCAAGTCGTCGAGTGCTATTGAGGCAGCATACGTAAGTAAATCGAAATCCTTTCCGTTTTGTAACATTTTCATCGAGTAAACATTTCGCTGGGAAGTTGCTACTGTACAATTATCTTAGGAGCCATGTCAATATTCACGCATGGTCGTTCCTTTTGAGACGTTCCTCGCCGACGAACGGTTGAGCAGTCACTACGGCTTCACGGCCCAACAAACTTCTTACATATGTTTCTATTTACCTTCTTACTTTTCCTCGTAGCACATTGTACATTTCATACAAGCATATTTTACAGAACGCTCGATATATTTATTATTATACTTGCATACTTTTAAGTGATAGAAAAGCGCCTAAATTTATTGATTAGCAAACATTTGTTGATGCACGAAGCGTTACGTAAGTTATATGTTAGCAGGTCGTACGTTTAATTTACTATTTAACTGCAAGTTCCCGATAAACTCAAAAACTGCTAACTCGCCATATTTGTTTCAAATAGAAATACCTTCTATCTGAGATAAAGTTTAGTTTAGATTTTCTGACCAGCTATCTGCGATGTGTTACTTTATAATATCTTTTTTCACCCTTAAAATATCTCTACAATTTGCATTGGAAATGTTCGCACGGACGAAGCTGTTACCAATTCACATTCAACCATTGTGCAAACATTAATGCAACACTGAAATATTACACGAAGCATATACAGCATAATTTACATATAAATTTTGTACGTATTTCTGTAATAACCCGTGGACCGCCGACGCTGTCGCCAATGCCGACGCTCTCGGTTGACACAAGTAACAATGTTACCGGGACTTTGTGGTGACGGGGCTAGAGGAACTCTGTTATGAAGGCTGTAATAGCTCTCCCCAGTTTCCAGATGCGGGAGAGTTTAATAAAGCCTATTCGCGAACAAGGTATTGTTGTATTCAGAAACTAAGTTCATTAGCGACTAGCTAGTTTCGAAAGCGTACAATGCAACCTGAATCTACGTCTTTAAACTTTACATACAATATACGTAGCGTAAATACTAAGGGATTTTAAATAAAAAGCAATTAAGTATGTTTAAAAGTATTATTATTTTCGAATAATCCGTAAAAAGATTCCGCTTACCGGTCACCAACCTGAAACAAAAAAATGTTATTATATAAATGTATGAAATTGTTCCAAACCCTTTTCAATAGCGGTCAAAAAGCACTAGTTAAAATGTATTTCGACATACATATGTATGTGGCTAGGATCTCGAGCGGGATAAATCACAGAGCAGGCGTTATGCACATAACTCTTCGCTACGGACCTCTTGACATTAGCAGGGTCTGTCCCCTGTCACGGATAGTAATCTTGTAACTAGAAATGACTTCACATTTATAATTTAAACATGTTTATCAAATGCTTTCGTATTTTAACCTTAATTTAAATTTATGTTTATCTTACATATTATACACTAGCTGTTGCCCACGACTCAGTCCGCGCGGAATTAAAAAAAATATATTGGTCGCATGTTATATAGCCTAAAATGTTCCTCTATGAATGGACTATCCAATAAAAAAAGAATTTTTCAATTCGGACCAGTAGTTCCTGAGATTAGCGCGTTTAAACAAACAAATTCTGCCCTTTTATAATAAAATATTAGTATAGATTATATTTTATTATATATTAAAATCAGGATTCAAGCAGAAATACATAAACTCCTCAAGTGATTATTAAATTTTTATATATTATTAAAAGGTCAAAAATGTAATAAATAAACTAATATTGTAATTTAATAATATGCATTTTATATGTGAGCATAATAAATCAGAGATAATGTAAAAAAGCTTTATGGTATTTTGCTAATTTTATACTTTTTTTATCTATCCTTTTTTAATGTAGTTAAAATCTTGTTTTTAGAATATCATGGATTACATAATTGGTTTCGGAATTCGATACCAACTAAATATAATCTATAATTTAACAACTTTATGAGTAGCGTCTTATGGTAATAGGCGAACAGGTCGTTATTTTCTTATATTAAGAAGACAAATATATAATTTAAAAAGTGCGTCAACGTTTCACCTTTACATCGTAGACTTTGTTAATTAATTTCTATACTAAATAAATTTATGCGCGAATACGCAAATGTTTTTCATTCCAGTCAATTCTTAAACAAATCAAGTTGAGAATGTGTACATACATTAGAGGAAGTTTGAAAGTAGCGCCAGTGAAAAGGTTAGCTTTGTACAGATTACATCATGCTGAGAGATGATTACATAAGTAAGAAATACGAGATTGAATGAAAATTCAGATATGACGGTTGATAGAGTTGTATGGAGGAGTAGTACATACCGACCCTGAATAGGGACAAAGGCAGGTTTATGATGACTTCTTAAAAATATTCATCAATGTACAAATACCAACACTAATATACTAGTACTAATATACGTTTTCAAACTTCCCATATGACACAAAAAATAACCAGCAACATTCTAGGCAATTAATACTAGGGTTGCCACGAAAGGATCATCATCAGCTCACTATACGTCCCCACTGATGGGCTTGGTGCCTACCCTATGTCAGGTGTGCCTAGGAAATAGTTATCCACACTGGCCCAATGCGGGACACGAAGGGTTGATAATCTTTATTAAATCTCATTATATCATCCTAGCTCGTAGTACATTTATTTATTATTGCTTTATATTAATACTTATAATTGAGATATATCAAATATTATAAGTTTAATTAAGAATTTGAGTGATAATATACAAATATATAATATAAAATATAATAATGCCACTTGTAGTAAGTTTCGAACAATGAGAACATATCCAAAGCGCAGGGACGAGATTGCGTGGAAAGGTTATCATTGGGACCTAATTTAATTCATTACGCGCCCGCCCCGCTCCGACCCTTTCTCAACAAAGCGTAAATGACCGAAAGCAAAATTCCGATGAAATACTATAAATGTAATGTAAAATCATAATTGTGCAATCAAATTCTGAGTAAAAAGTTGTTGTTGAAAACCACAATTTAAGTAGAATTTTCTTTTAAAATTGTTGTTGTTGGTATTATGGTAAAATGAACTTTTTATTTTATTAATTGCATATTTTACTAATTGTTATCTATACAACTATTTTATTTAAATTCTTAAACCGAAAGCTTATTAATATAACTTTTCATACTTCGGTACTAATATCATTTTTGCTTTAATTCATTTTTTTTAAGCGTGCAATCATTAGTTGATCCGACGCCCATGGACATCTGCAACACTAGAGGAACTTCAGATGATTTTAATTTGGAACCTCTGAATATGTCATATTTTTTTATATGAGAAGGGGGCAAGCGAGCAATGAATCGCCTAAAATTTTTTGATCCGACGTCCATGGCCATCCGCATCGCCAGAGGAACCGCAGATGCGTTGCCGGCCTTTAAGGAAGGTGAAATTATAAGGAAAAAATGTTAAATGAATGGGAATAATTATAAGAAAAACTGTCCTTACCTACACTATATGAGTATAAGTTAAACACATATTCATAATAGGATTTGTGGATAAATATGTAAAAAATGTTAGAAATAAATTAATTTAACAGACTTATCATGTATTTTAGCAGCTATTATAAAACTGGATAAAAACACGTGAAAGATATATGTTAAAAAAGACTCAACACGTGATATTTAAACAGGATTTTCCAACAATATTATAAATGCTAAAACCTTTTATTAATAATTATTGTAATTTTATCAGTTTACGATATCCGCAACAATAAAATATGACCTTGTATAAAAACCTGTTCTGCATAAATATACAACTTCAAAGAAAAATATTTTAATACAATAATATGATCGTCGTTGCTTTTGAATGGTCGCAAAAACAATTAAAGAAGAATTTTTTATCGCCGTTAAATTTTTATTTGTCATGGAATCTCGTCTATACTGCTTCAAATCTACACATTTCATAAAATAGGAATCCATATGTAATAAATTAAAAAAAAACATCGTATAAACGATATAATTAGGTTTCGTATTATAACAATTTTAAAATTTCTGTCTGTCTGCAAATAGACGTTTGTTTGAGTTCTCGCCGAAACGGTTGAACCAATTTTGACCACACTTTAAGTGGAAGGTAGCTAAACTACGCGGGAACTTTAAAGGCAATTTTTTTTATATAAATCTGTACAATCATCAGTTCTCGAAAAGAACTCGATCACATTTAATAATAAAGATGAAAGTTTTATAAATTTAAAAACTATAGAATCACACTTATATCTCATTCAATTTGAGTATCTTACATTGAATCACCTTAGTACATGGTCTTTATAAATTCGAACATTTCGAATAGCATAGTTCTAGTATATATTTTCTGTTTTATTCAATGAACTATATCAATGGTGTCAAACAATAATCCATGATACAGGTATCCCATAAATTAAATTTAACCCTTGACTGAACAGTTTTGATAATAGTACCTGCCAACTGATATATTAGTTCCGCCTTAAATCCAACGCCTAAACAAATATTTGCTTTTACGGGACAATTAATATTTTCAGGACATGGGTTCACGTTAGCTTTATTCGTGTTAAGCCCGAGTTAAACCTGACACGGAATAAAGGCGAAAAGGTTTTATGTTGCAAACATACGTGCATATAAAATTATTTTAACTTTTTATATATGTTACGTTAAAAGATATATGATGACGTTAAAAGGTATATTTTGAGTTATGTTTTGTTACATATACATACATTTTTACATCATGTTATTAGATATAAATAGCTAATTATAAAATATTATTTATTTAAAAATTGAATTACATAATTACGTACAATTACATTATAATGAACATATTAAAATTATAAATAGCCACTTCTTAAGTCTAGAATTATTTCAAGGTGCTACAAAATTTTTAAAATAAAAAAAATATTTATAATTAAGAGTTATATTACTATTCATTGATCGTGTTATTTTGTACCGGTTAAGTTTTTTGTTGCATAACCACAAATCAACAAATGGCAAAGTAATTCCAAGCGAGTCAAACTTGTTTACTGTCTAGTCGAAAACCATTTGAATTTTGTTACAAAAAACCTGACAATGATTCAAGTTTGTATGTGTGATTAATCAATGAAAATGAGTGGTCTCCATTACAATATTCAAATTAAGATATTTGAAAATTTGTATGTAATTTCTATCAAATTATGTTTGTAGATAATTTATTGTGAGTTTTAACTACGGAAACAGGTAAAACAAAACGAATCATCAACTCCCTGATATTTAAGAACATGAGATGATAACAGGCGATTTGGCAGTAGAATCCCATCGTTAACTTAACACTTAACGATGCACTTTTTATACGAACAAAAACTGTAAAAGATTTTTTTATCTTTTTAAAGCGACCTAGGATCGAGCAAGATGCAGTGCATTTTTAATAGTCAAAAACTCTGATGTGAGAATTAAGATGACGAATCACATAAATAAGCAAGAAAAAATAAAATAAACAAGAAAAATTTATAAATAAATTACGAATAAAAATATTATATTATCTCACATTATCATATCATATTCATGGTATATTCAAATGTTTAATTAACTATTATAAATACCAACATTAGAACAATCATGTAAACGTGTTAATGAAGATGAGAAAAATATCTGTAGATTTGAAAAGGTGCAGGGTAGAAAAACCTTTTCTTACCTTTACTTTGTCGTTCTATAACTGATGTACAATTTAGTTCCCGCCTTCACTCCCGCCATAAAAAGATTCCATTTCTTTTTTGTCTAAATCAGTGAACATGTTAATATCGCTTACGAATCCTTTACTTTCTGCATTAGTCTGAATGATATCTCTTAAATTAGTCCGGAAATTTTCAAAATGCCTATTTCTATCGTTTTCATCTTTATATGCTTTATTGTAATCTTTCACGAATTTCTCGAAAAGTTGTGGTGCTTCTTTCAAATCGTATTTAGGTTTTTCACTTTCGTAGTTATCTTCTAATATTTCAGTGTCTTCTGATATTTTTTCTGCTCTATCTTCGCGGTACTGATAATAATCATAAAATGCTTCGCCATTATATTCCATAGCCGCTACGGCACTGATTGCTACTAATGTTATTAATATTAATCGCTTCATGGTTTCAACTCACGATGTGTCTACTTCACGTATCATGAACATCTGTCTGATGACTACGCTCAACGCGACCTCGAAAACTTGTTTGTGTTGTTATTCTTATAAGCGTTACAAATCTTTGTTTTTTATTATCTACGTGCGTGCAGAAAACAAAATAGAAGTTAAAACATCTTTTACTACCTTTGTTTGAAAATTGTAATATTTTTCTTATCTATGATAACGCAGTTGTTTTAGATTTTAGATTAGTAGACTTTTACTATTATCAATATTCTAACACAACAATATCCTAACATTACAAATATCTTAAATAAAAATATCTGGCCCTTGCCTCGTAACTAAAATTAAAAGTAAGGGAACATTGTATACCAGATATAAATTGTAGAATAAGAGTCTGACAAGAAGCGGCGATAGCAAGTTTACATAGATGATTCTCGTAAAAGATACGAACAAAAAGAATCTAAATTATATTTTTTATTGTTACATTTTAAGGTTCAGCCAGTGTGAAAGCGGCTTAATGGTGAAGATAAAGAGAAAACAAAGCTTATCAGAGGGCAACTGTAGGTAGGTCGCGCACAAAGCCCTTGAATTACGCGACGTCCCGACTTGGCTCGCTCTTATCTGTCAACAAAATTTCCACCTGAACTGGGTACTTATAGGAAGGTAACTGTCGGCTGAGGCAGACGCGTTTATGAAAGCTACAGTTAGACTTAATTCTTATGGTAAAATTTGTTATCGCAAATCTTAAAAGATTAGATAAACAAAACTTATTGACTAAGTTAAAGTGCTTCGCTTATTCGCTGTATTTGTTAATTTTATAAAATTAAACAGCACAATTTTTGATAAAAACCTTTTTGTTACTCTGTTTATGTTACGTAAGCCAATCGACTAACACGTATGACGCATAGAAGACAGTATTATAATAATCAAGACCTCTGTGTGGGCAAATATTATGCGGTCATCACTGTTTTCAAAAGTAATAAATAAGCAATTATAATGAGTATCCATTGATGATAGGTTATTTGTTTGAAATGTACTAAAAATATAATAATAAAATAATTATTTAGGTAATTTAATGCCTAATAAATGATTTGCCTTAGTTCCAGACAAATAATTGATTTTATATTAACATGTTTTTACATATGTAGACTTAAAATGTAGATGTTTCATACGACTTATATGTCAACTTACTCCGACATTACCCTTCTAATAAATGTAAAAGTTTTATGTAAACGACACCGTTCAGGTCGGCGTCCGTCCGTCTATTGCACAAGTTTAGTAATAAATTAGTCAGTTAGGCTTGTTGGACTCAGATAAGTGGATCAAAGTAAGGATTACCTTGTTTCTGGCGAGTCACAGTTGCTACTTATGAAACAGACATAACCAAGGTTCATGCGCCATTGTCCCTCATGTTAAAACAAATATGAACATCGGGTCTTCTTTACGTTATAAATAAGAATTGTAGAACATAATTATATTATAATATATTTTGAAAAAAAAAGTATGACACGTAAATTAAGTAATTTAATGCTCAAAGCCTTAAGCCTTTTGACATGTTAATTCTCAGCATACAAGACACGTGGAGTTATGTAATAAAGAAAGGGTACCACCCAAAGGGTAGCCAACGTCTTCTTAAGATTTAATTATGAGGGTACATCCCGTACATTGGCCTGTTTGCCCAATTATCCAAACATCCTTTAAGTAAGGTGGCCTCGTAAAAAGTAAATAAGGGTCTAATAGCATCTCCAAGAAAATGGAATTAATTTCTTGCTCAATGAGCCAAATTATGGTATTGTGTTACAGAATAACATCAAGGCGAGAAACAAAAGAACACTCTTTGCTAACAATCCTGCGTTATGTTTCGGAACACTTTTATAATGTTAATATTGTTAGAAATATCATGAAACCAAATCTTTTTGGCTGGTGTTTTTGCATAAGTCTTCATGTTCAGTTGGGATAGGTAATGTGACTACAGTCAGTCGAGTTTTTTGGTGTTTTAAGTAACAAAACGTGTTACTTTGATGTTACTTAAGTTTCTAAACAAATTATGTTTAGACTTTTTATGTCCGTACTTATGCAGAAAACGAGACTCAAATATAGCGTTAAAATGAACTTTTTTCTGTATTCTTTGTTGTTCCTTAACTTTGATCACATATACCTTTGAATTGGGTAGTTCGTTATTGTTTCGTATCCCATGTTATTCAGAACCTTTCGCGACCGTGTTGAAATGGCTCCGTATCTTTATTCTGGGGTCACCCTTGATCCGCATAAATTGGACTTTTGGGTTCACACACAATACTTCGTGAAAATAGTGACATGTTTCTGAAATTGTCCTTATTCTGTTTTTAGATTTTCGTATTTTAATTGCATAATTTACTGAATCTAAAGAAAATGGAATATAGAATATAATATGGAAAAAAGAGATAGACCGTCCTTCTTTAATTTTGTAATCGGATATAATTAAATGTTACTTCTTTGATTTTATATCTCTAAAACATGCATGTATTTTCCTTACGTAAGCTGGAACATGTCTATTACTCATTCCTTGGCGTACGCGTATGTAAATTCCTTATCTTACATGTATATTATTTTCCTCACTTTTACACATTTTCATCGGTTCCACTTAATAAAGATTGACAATGACGACAGCGAGTGTCGGGCGAGCATTACGTATTCAGGAGGCTCGACGCTGCCGCTAACGAGAACACGAGATAAGTTTACAAACGTCGTTGTCTTGAATTCCCAAAGACGTTCATTCGGGGCGTTGATTAAACATCGTAGGAATGTTGAGTGAATGCGGTGATACTGTGCTGCTAGCTACGTGTTTGTTTGGATACAGTATCGAGCTGTTACGTCTTGTCGACGCTTCAGTTCTGTGACTGATATTTGTCTTCTGAGAGACTTACGAATTCACATAGAATTAGATCTTAGTGACATGAAACATTCAATGTTATCTTACTTAGGTAACGATTCTATGGGAAACAGATTTTTTAAATGTTTTCAGTAAATTCTAATAACATACATGTTATAGTATAATTTACTTTTGACGTAATCCTAAGAAATAAAATCTGCTTTATATAAAAATAACCGTTCGTATTAATTGTCGTTTATAGTTCTAGTAGCCATCTTATACATTTAAAGACCTAGCGTATGTGTATTATCTATTCGCATCTAAATACTCATGACTGTTGTTTCACCTAATTTTTAGATAAGTTACTTGTTATTGGTTGTAATTTTATCTGTCTTGATTGAATTTAGGTTAAATAAAACATTTTCTGAAAACTGTCACGCCGTTAATTAATAACAATTATAAGCGTTGAGATTTGCTAATCTGCTTTAAATTAAAAAGCTATCCAGTAGACTAACATTACTCAAGGATAATTGTCAAATAGATAGATGTAAGATAATTGAATAAAGACAGTGGCGTATTGAAATAGGCTGGTTCGTTACTCCTAAACTAATATTCGCTCACGATACCCACGTCTTAGTGTAATTTTGCAAATGAGGAGTGTCTCGGAGCTACAGAGTTTTGTCACGATTGAGAACCTTCGTACACATTCGTTTGCTCATTCACTAATGGATTACACTGAAGGAGAATCTCAGATATAATTATGATTAAGAACTAAGTAACATAAGACATTTTCTGACGCAAGATTGGTAATGTTGTAATAGATTAATATAATACTATTTTCTTTCTAAATCAAAATATCGTATATTAGTAAAATACGATCAATTATTTAATTTTTATGTTAAATAAATGTCATGTTAATTAGACTGTAGTTAAAAAAAAATCTTACATTTCTGAGCTGTTGCGAAAGTTCTAATATCTTCGATGTTCAGATGATTTGATGATTTATCGATAAATAACTGTTGCAAACGACTCCATTCGCTCGGAATTAAAAAAAAAATAATTAGTAGCCCCTGTGTTCTTTCAGACTATCGTCTACATATATGCCAAATTTAATCGATATCAATCCATCCTATCAAAACATGCGCGTTGGTAATATTAGTAAGAATTAGTAAGAATGTTGCTAAGATTGTAAAACGTTTGAAGGAATTTACAATTTGTTATTAAACTAAATTTATAGTCTTGCCAATAACAGCCCACAGAAATGTCGCCATTCCATTTTTCCGAACTGACAATCACATTGTATTTGCTTTTAGTTTTTCGGGTTTTTTTCCCGCGCACCTGGTCGAATTCGTAGATTTTTTGATGCGTGTAAAATCTGTGGGAATCTGGACCCGACTTGACGTTTAAAAAATCCATTCCGTACATGTAATCGATACTCACGTCTAGACAGACAGTATCCGAAATTGTGACAGCGTTTTTTAATTGGAGTTTGGTTCTATTTCATATAGAAAACGCTAACTCATCTCCAAACATACATATACTTAATTTTTTTCTCATTTTCATGTTGTATCTCTTTAGCTTTTTTTATTTGATAATAATGATGATAAGCAAGTATTGAAATGTATTTAAGAATTATATTTCGGAAATGTTGATTCCAGTCCAATTAAATTATACAATAGGCACAAGTAAAGGACGACACAAACAATGGATACGATATTTCTCTTGTAAAATATCATCAAAATAATTGAATAAACGCTGGCACGAGAAGCTAAAATGATACAGATATCTTTGTTATTAATGAAACGTATTTTCTTACTTGCTAACGTGGGTTTCATCTTTTCTTAAATTCCAATTCAATAAATATGATTAAGAAATTCTTATTCTAAAGGATTTTTTATTCCTATTGTAATCAAATATTTTATTTATTCACTACGATAAAGGGTGTTTTTGGTATTTTTTGGCCACATTGGTGGTACCTTGAAGAAAAGCTTTATTAAATAAAAAACTTATATGCCTTACTCTATTTACGCCTCTTATTTAAGGTCGTGAGTGCTAAAATTTTACTTACATTTTACTTTTATATTAATAAGTTATACTGACCTATTATTGTTAAATTTAATATGAAAATAAAATTACCGCTTAAGTTTTAGAAGGCGGTATATTCTGTATCTTTACGTCCTTAAGCTCGCAGTTTAACTACGTGTTCAGCCTACTTGGCA